AAAAAAAAAAAAAAAAAAAAAACCCTCATTTGTTTCTCAAAGTTCTCAAACGTATTCTCTTTTTCGAAGTTTTCGAAATATATAGGATTTAATCATTTCTTTCTCGGCATTTCTTCTTCGAAATTTGAAAACAAATTTAATTCATTCTTTTTCGAAATTTTGTAATTCGAAAATATTTTAGAATTAATTTAACTCTTTTTCGACATTTCTTTTTCAACATTTCTTTTTCAAAACATTTCGACTCAATTTTTTTATTTTTATTTTTATTTTTATTTTTTCGAAAAGTTTGAAAATACACTAAAATTAATTAAATTCTTTTTTTGATATTTCTTTTGGAAATTCAAAAATAATTCTAATTAATTCTTTTTCCTAGTATTTCAAATTCACAATTTCTTTTCGCAATTTTTGTTGAAATTCGAAACTCTTTTTACAATTCGGAAGTACTTTTCTTTTAAAAATGTTATTATAAACCCCTCAATTAATTTCGACTAAATTCAATTAATTCATGACTGAATTAATCTCTTTATTCGAAATAAATTATCATTTTTCTGAAATGTTGACATTTTTTTGCCAAATATTTTAAAAATTTCCTCTTCCTAATTCTTTTCAGAATTTTTATTTCCCCCCCTCCCGTAATTCGAAAATATTTCCTTTCGAAATTTCACGTTTTCTTGTAAATAAATTTAAATCTAAATCAGAATTTATTTTTTCGAAATTAATTCTCTCTTTCTGTTCAACGTTTATTTTTGAAAAAAATAAAATAAAAATAAAAATAAAATTGGCGATTATCTTTATTTTTAAATTTATTGATAAATAAATAAGGGATTCCCCCCCCCCCCTCCACATGCCACCACGCCAAGCCAAGAACTCCCAACGTGCTGCTGCCGCCGCCACCGCTGCTGCTGCATCCTCCACACTCGTTCAGGCCACGTCATCCACCCCCTCTTTCCCTGACATGGCCACATCCTCCATCAACATGTCTGACATCCGCACCGACTCAGTCGATAGCATCGCCCGTAACCTCGCAGGCAAACAACCACCAGCAAACACCGCCACCCCCGACCTCTCCGCCATCCTCCTCGAACTCAACACCCTCCGAACCTCCGTCACCGCCTCTCTCGACGACATAAAGGCCAACATGTCGTCCATATGCGACCGCGTCACCACGATCGAAGGGACCATCCCCTCCATCACGGTAGTCACCACCGCACAAACCTATCCCTCCTCCACAGCGCAAACCACTCCAACCTCCACAGCGCAAACCACTCCCTCCTCCACAGCCGCCTCCAGCAACACCCCCCCGCCGACCTCCTCCATTCCTTCCACCTCTACCACCATATCCACCAAACCTTCAATCCCCACCATCGTTCCGTTCCCTCCACCTCCTCCCTCATCCGGCGCATCCAGCACACCGCCTCATTCCTCGCCCATCAAAGTCACCCCTCTTCCCCCCCCGCACTCCCAAACCCTCTCCCAACCCATCATGACCACCTCCACCATCCCCACCATCCGTCCCACCTATTCCCAAGTCACCTCYGGGGCYTWCCCCGCAATGCCACAACTTCCCCCCAACTACCTCCTTGAGGACAACAACCAAATCGACCACACCTGCTACGACACCACCCCCGATAACCTCAGCTTCAACACCCTCGCGCAGATCATTCACCGCGACAGGGAAATCCCCCGTTCCTTCCGATCTGGCGAAATCATGTCCTTCTCCGGCCTCCCCCACGAAGACGTTTTCCTCTTCCTAACCCAGCTTCAGAACTCTTTTCAGCTCCACCACATGCCCCTTGCCCACTGGCTCCCCATTGCCACCTCCCGCCTCCTCGACAATGCAGCCAAATAGTGGATGGATGAAGTTAGCAACCGCCGGGCCTCCGGAGGACCACGCCACACCTTCCTCCAATGGGCCAACCTCCTCACTGCCACCTTCCGCCCCCAGAAAACCATTGACCTACCTTGAACAATTCTGCCACCTTTGCCAGACCGGTCCCACGGACCGCTTCATTCAATACGTCCGCTCCCTCCGACACCACCTCCCCCATACCGTCATTCCCGACTGCGCGTTCATCTCCCGCATCAAACGAGTATGCCACAAAGACCTTGCAACCGCCCTCGCCCACGAACCCGACATGCCCCTTGCTGACCTCCTCTCTCGCATGCTCCACCTTGATCGACTCCTCCACCCCCCCCACCAGATCCCCCCCGACACCTCCCGCACCTGCTTTTTCCACCACATCACCCCTGAAGACACCACCTCCATCACTTCCTCAGACGGGTTCACCTCACCTGACCCCGACGCATCTTTTGATTTGTTCGACTCTTCATCCCTCACTTCCGAGGAACTCGATGTCGTCCAATTGATGAGAATGAAGCGCAGAGATCGCAGCTCCCGACCACCCCCATCT